TGCGTGCGTGCAAGCGTGCGTGCAAGCGTGCGTGCGTGCGTACGTACGTGCGTGCGTGCGTGCGTGCGTGCGTGCGTGCGTGCGTGCGTGCGGCGTGCGTGCGTGCGTGCGTGCGTGCGTGCGTGCGTGCGTGCGTGCGTGCGTGCGTGCGTGCGTGCGTGCGTGCGTGCGTGCGTGCGTGCGTGCGTGCGTGCGTGCGTGCGTGCGTGCGTGCGTGCGTGCGTGCGTGCGAGCGTGCGTGCGTGCGAGCGTGCGTGCGTGCGTGCGTGCGTGCGTGCGTGCGTGCGTGCGTGCGTGCGTGCGTGCGTGAGTGCGTGCGTGCGTGCGTGCGTGCGTGCGTGCGTGCGTGCGTGCGTGCGTGCGTGCGTGCGTGCGTGCGTGCGTGCGTGCGTGCGTGCGTGCGTGAGTGCGTGCTTGCGTGCGTGCGTGCGTGCGTGCGTGCGTGCGTGCGTGCGTGCGTGCGTGCGTGCGTGCGTGCGTGCGTGCGTGCGTGCGTGCGTGCGTGCGTGCGTGCGTGCGTGCGTGCGTGCGTGCGTGCGTGCGTGCGTGCGTGCGTGCGTGCGTGCGTGCGTGCGTGCGTGCGTGCGTGCGTGCGTGCGTGCGTGCGTGTGTGTGTGTGTGTGTGTGTGTGTGTGTGTGTGTGTGTGTGTGTGTGTGTGTGTGTGCGCGCGTGTCGTGTTGCCTTTGAATGTGTTGAATTTGACATCGAGGAGCTGACCCCTCGCAGGCCTTTGATATGGCCGGTTTTCCCGTTTTGCAGAGCCTGCTGCTGGCACCAGCTGCGAGCTCCAAGACAAAGCACCACCAAGGAAGGTCAGTGCATGAACAAGAACTGGCGAGGCCCAACCACTTCATAACGCACCGTTTTGCAGTGGAGCGAAAGCAGCCCTGTGTCACTGATAAGAATGAGGACGACAAGACCAGAACGACATGAGTCATCATCATGAACGGCTTGGCTGAGGGTGGAGGCTAGGCTCCCGGCAGGGTGGGTGAAGCGGGTGTACCCAGTCCTCATATAGATTGCGGGAATGAACAAACATGGGCAAGCAAAAAATCCTGTCAGTGTTCGTGCTGGACAAGGGCTAGTAACGTCGTGCAATAAACTTCAGAGAGCAAGCTGGAGAACTGTGGGAAGAGCCAACATTCAAGGTGATTTCTGGAGACAAGCCGTCACCTGGGCATTGCCAAAGCCACACCCACACTGCCAAAGCACTAAATGGGAGCCTGACCCCGGCCTGCATTTTGCTGTCCCTGTGGCGGCCTGTTCAAGCGGGTGAATCTTGATTTAAGTTTCAGCTTCGCCTGACACGACCCTAACTCAGAAGGTTGACCCGCCCCAACGGCCCAAATCGACACTACCCCCAAGTTCCCACTTTCACCCAGAGGTTCGCTTGGGAATTGATGTTCATCCCTTCAGAAAAATCAACAGCCAGTTTAAAAAAAAAAAAAAAAAAAACTTAAATAAAATGGGGCTTCCAGGGACCAATGAAGTTCCATGTCAATGCGCGGGTATGCAAAGCGAGTGATAATGAGACCCTGGCCATAAAGGGATTGATCTGAGCCACAGTCAATACTCAAATACTCATTGTGACCCTTTTGACATGGGATTTTTGTGTGTAAGCCCCATGGTGAAGGCCCCAATGTCATCCCCATACCACAGTGGACGACATCAATGATGGTATATGCTGGCCGTCGTGCTGTAATGAATCACAGGGCGACCGCACCTGCTTATGGCTGGGACTGAATCCACTAACACTCACTCACCTGGGTCTTGAGTGCTAAAGTTGGACGTTCCACAAGAGGCGAGCTTCCTGCCCAGCTTCTAAGTTGACATGCTATAGGCTTAACCCCTAGATTGACACCTGAATGACAAGTCCATTTGCTTGTTTCTGCTTATTTGCACAAGACTAAATTTCTCGTGAGGGCTTGCCGCCCGCTTTTGGAAGTGTCCAAGCTTCAGCTGAATCGGCTTCCGCTCCGCCTTGCTCGATCGGTAAACCTCGTAGCTCTCATGGCGCAGCAGCGACAGCTGGTCCTCGCAACGGCTTCGTGTTGAAAGCATTGAGACAGTTCAAAGTTTGCATGAACCTGCAAGCACTAGAAACCTTTGGATTGATTGAATGTTTCTTCTGGCCCTTTTGTTAAGGCCGCCTGAATTGCTTTTCGTCTTTTGCCGGAGCCTCTCAAAGAAAGAACCTGCTCCGCTTATCAAAATTCAAGTAATTTCCCGAGGGGGGAAAACGTTGCAACTGTTGGCAACCCCGCGAACAGCACACATGTGTATCTGGGTGTCTCAAAATCGGGACCCCTTTCGAATGTGTTCAAAGAAACACCAAAAGAAAACTGACATGTGGATGGTGCTTCTCCTTCAACACCTAATGGCGTGATTGATTGATTGAATTGCAATGAGAATGGCCAAAGAACCTGAACTTGGGGATCCCCTTGTAAAGAAATACACCCCATCTGATCCCTGCTTTGCCCCCTGATTTCTTCACAAGTGTGCCCTCCTCAAACAGGTTGGAGCTTACCATAGGGAGCTTTTGGGGAAGTGGCGAAGACCTGAGCAAGGACGCCTTTGGGGGAAATGCATGCTTCCTCGAATAGGAATTTGACATATAAGAATAGCTTAATGTGCGACGTCAACGGCCATGTTTTTCTTATGGGGCATCTCGAATGGCAGAGTGTCTTTTCTTTGCACTCTGGCTTACCATGGCACATGAACAGTACCATGGCGCATGCGGCAAAGTGGCAGCGTTCGCAAACCCCCAAAAGTTTGTTTGAGAGTTGTTTCCAAGGGTCCCACCTTGGGATCCTGTGTTTGCAATCAGTCCTTCCGCGTCCCCTTTTCAAGCGCTCGTTTGCTGCGTGCCCTCCTCAAGGGTCCAACGCTTAGCCACCAGCTCCCCGCACTCCAGGACAAATGGCAGGCGCCCGTAGAAGTGGGACACAAAGGTCTCACTGGCCTGCGCGTATGTTCCATGCAAACGCTTTAGCGATTTCAGAACTCCAAAGTAGCTGCCTGTTCGGTGGCCGCTTGTTTAGTGCGGTGGTAGTCGACTCCAGCCACCTTTGTTTCGTCTTGATTGTACAAAAGCCAGACACAGGTCGCTCCACACACGTCGATATGTGCAATGGCAACATGCAAACGGCGCTTCAAGTCTGGGGGACCCAATCAACCGGAGTGGATCCCATGCCGGATCTTACCAGCATCCTTCACTTCCACAAAAGCCCTCGGCCCTATCAATCCAGCAGGTTGATAATTCGGGGTACCATTTCTCAAACCAGCCCACAGTATCACCAAGCGTCCGCCAGGGCTGTGAAGACGTCCCGGAAGGCTGCATCCTTCCCTGGCAAACCCGCATTTGCGTTCCCCGCACAAGTACCCGTGGGCGATTGTCATTATGGGTCAAAGTCCACCTTGGGTGATCGCAAAATGTAACAGTTTCCATTTTGTCACTCCCAATGTGGTACGCTCATGGGAAAGGACCCCAAGTTTCTAACTTTGACCCCAGAAACACGCAAAACTGTGGGCCCTGTTCAAAGGGCACTGTGCATTCGCCCTGCATCCAGCCAGCCATGCGAGCAGCCAGCAAAGAATTTGGGGGCCCTGGAAGCGAAGCAATGGTATGGACATTGTCCGTGGCTCACTTTTGGAATTCTTTCAGGTTGCACCAAGGGGTTGGTGGAACGGTCTTTGTTAAGCGCAGCATAGCCCAAGTGAATCCAGGTCTCATTGCCATAAAGCCCAAACAAAGCACGCAAGATTTCATGCTGAAAAGCTGAGGAGCAGAGCCGTGCGCGGTTCATTCACAAAAAAAATAAATTGAATGAAAATGGTGTGTTTCCTGAATAGAGACCCAAACAAATGGGTGGTTGTCTCGTTGCCACTCTAACAATCCCAAGTTCCCCACGCTTCGAAGGAAGGGATCCAGGTTTATGGAAGCACTATGCATGAGATATATGATTTGCAGTAGGCTGTGTGGAGCATAAGACCGAAACACCCGAGAAACACCGGCATCCCAACGCTGACGCTGCAAAAATGATGGCCGGGAGGAACCCTGAAACATGTGGCGCGGAGCATGAGCTCTCCTGCTCAGGTGGGATGAGTGCTCCTATCCCCCCCCGAGGCGTTTGGCCAATTGGTGTTGCTGCGAACATCGTGGCTTCACGCGAATTGCCCTTCTAATCAACAGCTGTCCTTCCTGATCATTGCAGTACATGGGTGTGGCTCAAAACAAAGCCGCTGTCTGCCCGGGTCTTTCATTTCCAACTTGGACACATGTCAAACAGTGAATTCTATTGCAACCCATCCGAAACAAGTCCTCTCGAGCCTGCTTTCTTTTAGCTCTCCATGTTGTTTGCTCATCGGGCGCCCCACCTTTTCCGTAGCTGCATCTCTATGGGCAAAGACATTTTTTTGCCTGGCAGATATGGCATTAATAAACGAAACTCCAATCCCAGGAAACCAAAGGCATCCCTCACCCAATATACAGCCGGGTCCTTGCCCCCTCCAGATCCGCGGCCCCCACCTGCCAAACTCTCACAGAGCTCCGCCTGCAACTTTCCAGCCTGCAGACCCGGAGGGCATGTTTGGTGTTCAAAGGGGGAGACCTCCCATTTGTTGACACCAGTAAATGTTGCGAGGAGGCACAGTCGAAACTGCAACAAGATCGAAAACCCGGGACCCTCAAGAGTTCCTTCGTCGTCTCCCGAGTTACAGGAAACACCTGCAGAACCACTGCTTTTGTGGGAAAATGCTCTTCCAAAATGACTTCTGCACCGACAGGGGAGGGATTCCCCGGATCCACATCCCATCCCCAAGGTCAAAGTGCCTTGGGGTCGGAGCAGCGGATCTTGAGCCGCGCCATGAAAGACTGTTGGGGGCTGAATCAAAAAGCCTCTTGAAGCAGGCGGCACCGCTGCCTTTGGGACAATTCATCCGGGTGTCCATTTGCAACGCGAGTCCGCGAAGGAATGGGTCGCCGTTCCATCATGAAGATGTGGGCTTCAGGTACTGGGTTGCGTCCGAAAGCGTTGTTCCAGGAGGTGTTCCATGGCGCTTTCACCAAAACATATTAATTGTCTTCAACCACTGTGCCTATGCCGCTTGAACCGTCCGCAAAAGGCCGTGGCGATGTTTGCCGAAAGCCATGCACTTGGAAGGGTTCACAAGAAGGCTCCTTGAGCAAGGGGTGTTTGCCCGTTTGCCCCAAATGACTCTTGACTCTTAACTTATCTAAACCCGAGAGTCATGCTATGACAGGCCTTAAAAAGCAGTAGCGGCGAGAGCGCGCAGTCACGCGCGCGCGCGCTATGCGCAGTGTACGCGCGGCGTGCCCCCGACGTGCGCGCGGTGAGCGCGCAACAAGCGCGCAATGAGCGAGCGGCGCGCGGCGGCACGTGCGGAATGCGCGCTGCGAGCGCGCAACGAGCCAGCGACGCGCGAGCAGTGAGCGGCGGTGCGCGCGAATCCAAAAGTCTGAAGCTTGTTCAGGGCGTTTGCTTGGTTTTGAAGAGTTGGTCGGGGCCGGCGCTATATCGCTCGAGCTCAAAGACAGAAGAAGTCGACCACTGGTGTTCGAAGAAAAATAGCCCAGGTTCCACACTTGAGGTGTTGCAAGTTCAAGGTTGCTCCTAGCACAACTCATGCAAAGATGGAGTGATGCAGGTTCCAACCAGCATTACCAGTTGCAAGCGCAAGTTGTTAAACAATGAGTCAAGCAAGTCACAAGTTGGGGCTGCTCCACCCATGAGTGTCATCATCTCATCAGAGTTGACGTGATGTCCATATTTGCATTTGTAGCCGTAGCAGGTTATTTCTATGAGTCATCAGCCATGAGTCAATAAGAAAAAACCATGAATCAGGAATCGTCGCGCGCGATGGATCAATGATGAGCCTGATTCACCCTCATTACGTGTGCGCCAATAGCAGTTTTGGCCCAGTTTGTCTTTGGACATCAGATCAGGATCGGATTGATATGAGTTTGACACGCGCCCGCAGTTATACCTGGTGCCCTTAAGCAGCTTGAGTCTCTCAAAAAAAACACTTAACAAAGGAACCCTGAGCGCAAGCACTCCTTTTCAGCACACGGGGTAGAGCATCAAAGGTAAGGAAAGGTCCTTCTCAGAAAGAGGGGGCCCCCAAAACAAGAAAAGGGTTTAAACCCGGAAAGAGGGGGTCTTGCAAGAAGGCCACAGGGGGTGAGGGCAGGCAAGTGCCCCGCCCGAACCGATACTGAAAGGTAAGCCACTGGGTGTGGCAGGCGAAGCCACTCACTCCTCCAACCTGGGTGGGTGGGTGGGAGAAAATCTAAGGCCCTGAAATTGGAAGGAAAGGAAAGGTTTGAGCCTCAAGCTGCAACAGTTAAGGGCACCAGTATAACGCCGCGAGTGCAAGCACTAGCAATCCTTATGCCTGGTGCCCTTAAGCAGCTTGAGTCTCTCAAAACACTTAACAAAGGAACCCTGAGCGCAAGCACTCCTTTTCAGCACACGGGGTAGAGCATCAAAGGTAAGGAAAGGCCTTCTCAGAAAGAGGGAACCCCCAAAAAGAGAAAAGGGTTCACACCCGGAAAGAGGGGGTCCCCCAAGAAGGCGGCGGCACAGGCGGACAGAAATGGTAAACAAATACATGTATGAAGAAAGGCATGATTGGCAACCCGCTGCGCAAGACATGCATGGGAAATGAAACGGCGCATCAGCAATCAATTTTACAGCTGCAGCTCGCTCCATGCAAAGATTGTTGTGTAACGTGGGAATTCTTGGATTTCAAGAAAATAACTGAGACTCATCGCCTCGACTGGGGGCGTCGGCAACATTCACCTCGGTAGGGGCCCGGTGGATCCACGGATCAAAGGTCATCCGTTGCTCAAGGCGTAGGAAATGCTGGACGAGCTGGTCGGCCGTACGGTTGTCGCAGGACATGCGGCCGTGCCTTGAGAGCAGGTCTGGCCAGAGGTGAAGCGCCATCAAAATGGGAAGGATCTTGAGGTGCAAAATGCAGTGAGATCCAAAGGTCGCAAGAACTGAAACGGCTGGGGGCTCAAAAGAAAAATGAAAGCGGGGCTGCCCAAAGAAGTCCACAAGGCATCTCCAATGGAGCCTCCAAAGCACCATCTGTGAAAACGTGCCAAGCGAGGCGATCTTTGCTGCTGATTGCTCGAGGCACTGCCGCAAACGCATAAAAGCAGTTGGCACTAGTCACCCTAGCGAGGTCCTGGCCTCGAAGTGAAGGCAAACCGTCCGGACGCTGGCCCGAACGGAGTGGGTTCGCAATGCGGCGCCCGTTCGACGGGCGGAAGTTTCCTCGCCACCTCTGACGCTGAGCTCTCTCGGGCCACTTTTTTTTTGAGAGAGGCGATAATCAAAGTATGCGCAATGAAAAGCAAGCGCCGTAGCGCTATCTCCTGGCCAGCGGGCACCGAGAGACCTGTAAGAGTCTCACCGGCCCATGCCCGCGGCGAGGTCTCACCTGCGGTACCGGGGGTGCCTGCAGCAAAGCCCAGCTGGGCCAACGAGGCGATGCCCTGCAGAACTTCCTCTACAAGTCCAACCTGCTGGGCACGGCTGTCAAACTCTGACTTGCTGTCAAGCAAGCTCATGGCAAGGTCGGAACTTTGGGCACTCAGCATTCGTCGTGTTTGCCAGAGGCATGAAAGCACTGCTTGCATCGGGGAAAGGGCTGGTGAACCAACTGGCCAACACTTACAAAGCGGTCAGTATTAGCCCTTCCGCAAAGAAGGCGCTCCTCCGAGTCGCCACCGGCTATGTGTATGGTCCGCAACTTCTGGCGCTGAACCAACAGAAACGGAGGTTGGACAGAAAAGAAAGGCTTCTGGAAGGCGGCAAGAGCCGCCCCCCGCCCCCCCCAAAAAAGAAAGCAGACGACAACAGCGACAGTTTCACACACAACTCCAAAGCTGACCCGTCCCCTTCGCACCCCCGGAAGCTGACTCGCCCCCCTCCCCCCTTCGCACCCCCAAAAAAAAAACAGACGACAACAGCAACAGTTTCACACCCAACCCCGGAAGCTGACTCGCCCCCGTCCCCTTCGCACCCCCGGAAGCTGACTCGCCCCCCTTCCCCCTTCGCAGCCCCGGAAGCTGACTCGCCCCCCTTCCCCCTTCGCAGCCCCGGAAGCTGACTCGCCCCCTGTCAAGAGACGGCAAGGTGACGTCCCGTGGGACGCTGTGCACCGAACCCTCCAGCTGTAATACCAACCACGTGGAAAGGTGTATACGGACGATGCCGTTATAGCCGAACCCGTGTAAACGTTGTAAGGGAGAAGGAATGATAGTTACAACAGTGGTCCTGACAAGTGCAGCGCAAGCGAAGTGTTTTCCGCTCTCAATGCCGATCACGTGTGAATGCAGCTACACATCAGATCTTGAACCTCAATTGTGTCTTGAGCCAAATGGCGATCAATGGAACTTGGTAAGCAACACTAACACAGACCTCAGAACAGCTTCCCAATTTAGGCACGGGGCCTAGAGGGTTTTAACATCCCCCATTTGGGTCGCATTGTTCATCATGCGGTCCAAACACCACAAAACGTTCCACTGGCCACGGCTTCAGCTACGAAATCGTGTCGTGCATTCTTTTACTTGCTATCGCTACACCGTTCATTCGTTGTGAAACATGCCGGGTTCGATTGTATGAAAAGTGAAACATTCATCCACCAATCGAAGCGCACTCCCATATGCAGGTGTATACAATACACTATTGTCACGTCATTTGACCACCAGTGAACATCCCAGCTGCCGCATTTGCGCATCGCGCAGCCGTCATCCATAGAAAATGGGTTGGCCATAAAAGTCCAACAGAGGCGCCTGCTCGTAAGCAATCTGCATATCTCCGGCAAAGAAATATCGGTGAGCAATCAATGCAAATCATAGCCATTCCAGATACCATGGACAATGCATAAATAATGAAAAGGATATCATCCATGAGGTAATAGTTCCATCCATGAATATCCAGAGTGTCATAGTCATCGGAATATGTAACCATGTACACATCCAGTCATCTTGGACACATGAAATCATATCATGACGTAAAGTCGTTCCATCGCAATGGTGTCGATGAAATGCAAGCAACGGATGGGGACTAACCCACATCGTGCCGCAATCAACATCTTCACTACGCACACCTGTCCCCAATGGACAGTCTGTGAGTGCGTCGACGGAACTCCTCGTCCAAGTTCTTCTGGGCTTCTCGTGCCCGGACACACTTCTTGTTGTGATCCTCTGGTAACCAGTGCCCTTTCCGAAGGCACCAATCCAGCAGAGGTGTGTCGCACTTGTTCGGGTCGATGGCCGAGATGATGGCGCTCACGTTGACCGTGTAACCATTCTTGCCAAGGTTCAGGCCATCCCTCACGAATGATATATACTTACAGTTGAAAGCCAGTGAAAAGCATCTGAAAATAATATCACCCACCGGGTGCACTCGGTCCTTGACCAGGAGCTTCATTTCGTCCTTGGTGACATCGAGGATTCTCGCTGCAATCCACAGCTTGTAGAATGTATATAGGCCCTCGCATTTGCACACCATCATACGAATATATTCTTCACGCTCCTCAACCGATCGGAAGACTCTTGCCCGAACATTCTCCGATTGAGAAATTTTCAGTGCTGTTGATGGCAAAAGGATACCTTCCTGATCGTGCTCGGTGATGTTGGGGTATCTCTTGAAGTCATTGTGGTAAGGGCAGCCCGCCCTCCCCTCGAGCGTGGCATTCATCGTTCTCTCCTCACCACCCTCGAACATCCCCCACATCTTGGACATCTGGAGTGCGATGAATCCCGCCATGTACTGAGCCTCACGCGGCTCATCAAGGCAAATCGCCATCCGCTGGGAATTTATGATATCCCGTGACGCCAGATCAGTGTCGCGGTAATACCAA